ATTTAAATTTCTTATGTTTGCGCAAATATTTCATTAACTATAAGATGAATGATTTTCACAGCATTTGACAAGCCACAAGCAACAATAAATGGAGAATCAGAAGACAGCACACTCCAAGAAGTTGAATTACCGCGTATAGGTGATCTATTTTTTTTTCTTACCACTCGTGAAAACACGATTCTTAATGACTTTAGAATTTTAACAAATTTGCAATTGTTATGCAGCGAGTTCAGGAGAAAGTTATAATGGCATGGACACTTGCCGCAGACAGAAACGAGGAATGGTTCTTCCTTTCGAACCACATTCTATAACTTTTGACCAAGTTGTGTATTCTGTTGACATGCCACAGGTAAGTAAATTTCAAAGTTTGTTAAAATTTAGGATTTGGTTTTTTCTGAACCTTGACTCTTGAGATTCTAATTGGCAGGAAATGAAGGTTCAAGGGGTAATAGAGGATAGGTTGGTGCTTTTGAAGGGTGTTAGTGGTGCATTTAGGCCTGGTGTTCTCACAGCCTTGATGGGAGTTAGTGGAGCTGGAAAAACTACTTTAATGGATGTTTTGGCAGGTAGGAAAACCGGTGGTTATATCAACGGGAGCATAAAAATTTCAGGATACCCTAAAAGGCAAGAAACGTTTGCTCGAATCTCTGGTTATTGTGAGCAGAATGATATTCATTCTCCTCATGTTACTGTCCATGAGTCATTGGTCTACTCGGCATGGCTTCGTTTACCATCAGAAGTTGATTACAATACAAGAAAGGTTAGTATTTAAAGCTCAAGACACTTTGCGATTTTTCTTTATTACTGGATTCATTAATCGAGATATCTGATAAATGGTTGTAGATGTTCATTGAGGAAGTAATGGAACTAGTAGAGCTCAATCCATTGAGAAACTCTTTGGTTGGTTTGCCTGGCGTAAACGGTCTTTCAACCGAACAACGCAAGAGGCTAACTATTGCAGTTGAACTAGTGGCCAATCCATCCATAATTTTCATGGATGAGCCTACATCTGGCTTAGATGCTAGAGCTGCTGCAATCGTTATGCGAACCGTTAGGAACACAGTTGACACAGGAAGAACAGTTGTTTGCACCATTCATCAACCGAGCATTGACATATTCGAAGCTTTTGATGAGGTAAGAAAGTGTTTTCAGATTCTTCATCTTCTGGACTTGAAAATTGAAATGACATATTTTATATATATGATTTCTTTTAGTTATTCCTGATGAAGCGCGGAGGACAAGAAGTATATGTCGGGCCGTTGGGTCGTCATTCGAGTCAATTGATCAAGTATTTTGAGAGTATTGAAGGAGTTAGTAAAATCAAAGATGGCTATAATCCAGCAACATGGATGTTGGAAGTTACGAGTTCGGCACAAGAACTTACTTTAGGTGTTGATTTTAATGATTCATACAAAAACTCCGAGTTGTTTAGGAGAAACAAACAACTTATAGAAGAATTAGGGAAACCTGCTTATGGTTCAAAGGATCTTCATTTCTCCACCCAATACTCACAGTCATTTTTGGTCCAATGCTTGGCTTGCTTATGGAAACAACATTGGTCGTATTGGCGCAATCCGCCGTATACTGCAGTGAGGTTTTTCTTCACTACTTTCATAGGCTTGATGTTTGGAACAATATTCTGGGATCTTGGCAGGAAATAGTAAGTGAAACTTCATTATTAGTTAGTTTTTCTTTCCAACTAGAATTCTAACCTCTTTTGTTGATTTTTAGCTCAAATAGACAAGATCTGTTCAATGCGTTCGGTTCGATGTATACTGCCGTTCTCTTCCTTGGGGTCCAGAATTCGGCGGCTGTACAACCCGTGGTAGCCGTTGAAAGATCAGTTTTCTATAGAGAAAGAGCTGCTGGAATGTATTCTGCCTTGCCCTATGCATTCGCACAGGTAAAAAAATAATCTCAACCTTGGCCGCCAAGTTTTTGGAGGTCATGTGTAGGTTAACCACACTTCAACCTAGACAAAAGAACTAGGAGCGCTATTTAACCATGGTTTAGCCGTGACAAATCTATTATAAGGCCTTATTTAGTCACAGTTTAACCGTGACAAATTTGACGCTCTGTGCAGTAGCCTATGTTGCACAATCTCAAAGACGGCCCTGATCGTTTGGATAATTACTCATTGTTGATAGAACTCACTCTCTTTTGTGACAGGTTATAATAGAACTACCTTATGTTTTTCTCCAAGCTATATCATATGGTCTGATAGTTTATGCCATGATTGGATTTGATTGGACTCTAGAGAAATTCTTTTGGTACATATTTTTCATGTACTTTACTTTATGCTACTTCACCTTCTATGGAATGATGGCTGTAGCAATCACTCCAAATCACCATGTCGCTTCAATCGTCGCTTCTGCATTTTATGCAATTTGGAATCTCTTTTCAGGATTCGTCGTTCCACGACCGGTAAGTGACACCAATGACCAACCTTTAAGTACATATTCAATGAATGTATTTTTATGTGATGTACATACAATGTTCTAACTTTTTACTACGACGACAGGTGATTCCGGTGTGGTGGAGATGGTACTATTGGGCATGTCCTGTGGCTTGGACAATATATGGATTGATAGCATCACAATTTGGAGATATAAAGATCATGATGGAATCAGAAAATGAAACAGTTGAAGAATTTATAACAAGTTACTTTGGTATCAAGCATGACATGATAGGTGTTTGTGCAGCTGTTGTTGTTGGGACAGGAGTGCTCTTTGCATGTATTTTTGCTGTCTCAATCAAGCTCTTCAACTTCCAAAGACGGTAGATCGGATGCTTTCAATCAATTTTGATGGATTTTTCTTCACTTCTTTCAAATTTTAGTACTCAACGATTACTTGTATATCTATACTCTTCTCATTCATGTCAAATATTATCCGACGTAGAACACATAACACAATGTTTATTAGTTTATTTGAGTATTTTTAAAATGTATGAATGATTATTTACTTAATAAAATTCAAGGGTATAAGATTTGCCACTATAGACAAAATTCATTACAATAATGTAATAAATAAGTTTGTAACCTTAAAAATACAAATACAAAAGTTTCACTAAATAGTATTATTAACTTCAAATAATTGAAAAATGGCATATTATATAACTTCACATAATTAAATATGAAAAAGATGCCGCATCAAATAATTGATGCTTAGTACTATACCAATAAACATTTCAATATTATCAAAGTCACTATTACAGAGCACGCATATTATATATAACTCAATCACCAAAACTAATCATAAAACTCATAGGTTCAAACCTACCTTAAACTAAGCATTAACCTTCTTAACCAAGTTTAGGGAAAGAAAACTTAAAATATGGGCTCAGAAACCACTCCAAAGCTTCCACTAATTAACTTAAATAATCTCAACTTAGAAACCAAAAGTCCTAATTGGGAGTTAGTGAAGTCTCAAGTTTACAAAGCACTAGTAGAGTATGGTTGCTTTGAAGCAATTTTTGATAAAGTTTCTTTAGAGGTTTGTAAAGGTATATTTGATTCACTAGAAGAGCTTTTTGATCTTCCTTTACAAACCAAGCTACTCAATGTGTCGAAGAAGCCTTATCATGGTTATGTTGGTCAATATCCTATGATTCCACTTTATGAAAGCATGGGCATTGATGATGCAAATGTCTATGAGAAAGTCAAGAGCATGACTAACATGTTATGGCCACATGGAAACCAAAGTTTTAGGTATGTAGATCAAATCATCAATACGGTTAGGTCATAGCCGTTTAAAGTTTTCATATGGTTTAACAGTGACAAATATTTTATAAGATATTTTTTAGTCTATGTGTGACAGTCCGCCTTGCATGCATTCAAAGACTTTCCTGAATATGATATCAATTTTTTAATATACATTTCTTTATTGTTTTGCAGCAAAACTATACATTCCTTCTCCAATGAGTTAACTGCGTTGGATCAGATTGTTAGGAAGATGATTTTAGAAAGTTTGAATGCTGAAAAGTACTTGGAGGAACACATGAACTCAACCAATTACCTTCTCCGAGTTATGAAATACAAAGGACCTCAAACAAGTGACACAAAGCTAGGACTTAGCACACACAGTGACAAGAATGTTGTGACCATATTGTACCAGAATCAAGTGGAAGGTTTACAAGTGATGACCAAAGATGGAAAATGGATAAGTTACAAGCCTTCTTTTTCAAGTAGTTTTGTAGTTATGATTGGTGATTCTCTCCATGTAAGTTCCATTCACCCTTCAACCATTAATAACAAATTATCAATTGTTAATCAATAAGGTTGCTAGAAACATCAAAATTTTGATATCGCAATCGCGACCGCATACATTTTCAAAATTATATTGTTAAAATTTATTATTAAGGTGTTTGTTTAATTATATTAAAATTCTTTATGTACAAATGTTTTTTTCAGGCTTGGTCAAACGGAAGGCTTCATTCTCCATTTCATCGGGTGATGATGAACGGGAATGAGGCTCGATATTCTACAGGATTGTTCTCTATCCCTAAAGAAGGGTGTATTATAAAAGCTCCGGAAGAGATGGTGGATGAAGAACACCCTTTGCTCTTTAAGCCTTATGATCATGTTGAGTTTCTTAAGTATTATTACTCTCAAAAAGGTCAAAGGGATCAAAATGCTATGCGCACTTTTTGTGGCGTTTGAGCTTGAGAGAGAGGGTGTGTGTCATATATATAAAGTGTGTTTTCTAAAGTGTGTCATAAAAGTACAATATGTATTGTATGGTGTTGAAAATTTTCAAAATATACATTTTGAAAAATTATATTTATAAGTTATTAAAATGTAGTTGATATACAAATATATCGTTGAGGATTTCAACAATGATTTTCTCTGAATCATCCTGCTTTGCTTCTAGGATTTCTACATTTCAAAAACTATGGAGATTAAGTCCCTAAGGATACAGGAAACACAACAATACAGTAAACACAACTTTTAATATTGTTGCTTCCATTAATAAAGCAAGATTGATAATTTGGTTTGTCTGTTAAGAAATGCAATACATAGGATTGGGGAGTTTGAAAGTACGATTGCCCAAAGAATCTCCTTGTAAATCAGTCCATTGATCTCCAACATTTCCCCATATTCTATAACCTTCATTTTCTATCTCTTTTCTAATTGATGACTTGTATTTCACTGCACTCATTCCTTTGTATTCACCACTCCTGCCAAAACCAATCCAATCAGAGTAAGACTTTTTCAATCCGAAAAGAAGGTATTACAAGTTAGTACACCCTTTGATCACGGAGTCTATATATAGATTAAATACATTAGTTGTCAAATATATTTAAAAAAATCAAATTTGTTTCTAATAGTGACGGGAGGGTGTAACTGAATTTAAGTTACATACGAAAGCAAGTAAGCCTAGCCAGCATCGTGACAATCTAGACTTTTACTGAGCGTTGTTCAAGCCAATTATGTTTTTAGAAAATGATATAAAACTAGAAAATGTGCACACACAACAACAACATTGGCATTTGTTGGAGGAAGTTTCTTTCCTCTTTCCATTGTCCCTTTGACAATGGTTTTTTTGTCCTCTATTTTTTATTTAATACTTGTCACCAACCACATAACTCTCTTCTTGTCTCCTTTCATTTAGGCCATCATAATATACTCCCTCCATTATTTTTTATAAGCAAATTTGACTTTTTAGATTTATTGAATAAATAATATATTTAGACTATGAGGCGTCGTCCACCAAGTTACACAACAGATAAATTAATTTTCAGACACTCTACCTGTGTGAAATAATATTAATAGTAAGTGTGAATAGTTAATATTACCTCAAAATAAGGCGTTGATATCCAATAAATCCTTGATTATGTAAGTTGTCCGTAGTAATTTTAGCAAGCGTTTCTTCGTATCTACCCGTTACTAAGAACACCTTGAAACCTCTCTGTATCAACGTTTTAAACAATCTTAATATCACAGGATTTGCAGGACACATTCCCTTATTAATCCATGCCTTAAACATGGTAGAATCAAACGGCTCGCATCTGCAAATTCAAAATCTTTAGTTAAAGAAACATGTAAGTACGTATTTGAAGAGAAGAGTGAGACATAACATAACATAACATACCCGAATCGATTAGCTTTGTAATAAGGAACATTAGAGATACATGTATCATCAACGTCGAATATCCATGCATCTTTATTACTAGGAACAGGAATATGTGATTTTGCATAGAAAACAATTTGGTCTACGATGATGTTCATGTCAAGTTGGTATTGTCCACCAACCATGTAATTCTCAACATGTTTATAGCAACGTAGTGGCACCGTCTTCCACGGACGCTCAGTATTATTTGTCTCAACTGCCAACCTCCAGCTCAGGCCATACCTCTCATCGTCATCAACCTCCGACAAAGTAGAATCTAATTCAGATCTGATCATCATCATCATCTTGGTACAAAAGTTATGTGGAAAAGAAAAGAATGATCAGCCTATTACATGGATTGATGATGGCAGAGAATGACGACCACTCCATTACCTTCTAATCTATATATTTTGGTCTTCACACGAAACTACATGGAAATTTGTACGAAAACCTCCTCTCATTTCCTCTCTATCCAATTTTTGACTTTTTATTTTAACAAAATAAACAATTTAATAAATGTTTTATTTTCGATTATTTAAAGAGACACATAAGTTAATTTTTTTTTTTTAAGTTAGTTCATACTTATCAATATTTTCCTTTTATATTTCAATATATGGTTGGGTTTTTCTATTCAAATAAATATGAATATAATTAGTTTTTCTATGCATAGTTTAAATAATTTAATTAATATACACCGAAAATATAAAACAGTTTTACATTTATCAGTGAACCGCAGTTGTTAAATGTTTATTGAAATTTAATTTTTCTTTTAATTATTTATAAAATAATATTCATTAATATTTGTGATACACTGACTGTGTAAAAAAATTTATATTGACTGTACATGATAATTAATCTCTAGTTTAAAATAATAATTTTTAAATATAAATAATTATAGATTTAAATGTATTTTTGTTTTATAAGCCTATTTTATTGAACCAATAATCCAACACTTAATTCACAAATTCACAAGTCAATGTTGGTGTAACTTATATAAACACTAAAAACTAATTGCAATTAAAATAATGTAGGATTTGCAATGAAGTCTTTTTCAACTAGCTTGCAATGTTGCAATGGAGTCTCTCTCATCATGTCAACCACACCAACAACAATAACAACCACCACTACCTCCATTTTCTCATGAAACTCCCAAGTCTTCATTGGCAACAATATAAGCACGTGGAACGGATTCATATCAACACCATTTTGCAACAACAACCAATTTAAAATGGAAAACATTGATGATCTCCTTTACCTTACTGTCATATTGTGTATGTGAAAACTTATATTTGATACAGACTTTTTCTTCTATGATTCTGTTTTTATACTCCCTTTTAGCAATTTAAACTCTTTCAAAACTATCATGTAACAACACAATAACATGATCCAAATGTTTGAATTATTCATTTTCAGTTCCCTCTCATATATCATCTATATTGATTAAATAAATGAAGAATCATAAAGGAAAACATATTATGAATTAGCACATAGTTCTGATAAATACTGTCAATATGCAATGCTTCAAAGTACAGAATTCTTAGAATATCAATAACAACTAAAAAATATGAACTTCATAAACTAAAGAGCATTCCTTCTGATGCAGAGTCAACTATTTCGTTTCGGCCAAGATTTTATGGCAATTTCTTTAGACATGAAACAAAACATTATACTGATGTAAAGTTGAGGGACCAAAAAGCTGATTTTTAAAATGGAGACTAAAAGTTAAAAAACATCAAACTAGAGGATCAAATATTCATTTAAACATTTTTTTTATTACTAATACTATTATCATTATCGTTAATTGGTCCAGTGGTGATTGGCGTTGGACTTGATAGGGAGGATTACAGTTTAATCCCCACAACTGTGATCGAGAGGGGACTGGAACCGCTTGATGTCAGAGATGACTCTCGAACCGGACTGTACCAGTGGTGAAAACTGGAAAAAAAAAATACTATTATCATTATCTAACACTACCATTATTTATTGAAAATAATTGTACGACAACTAATTACTTTTTGTGGTCTAGGTACAACTTGTACATGAATGACATCTAAGAGATTATTCTATTGTTCAACTTTCTTTGCTTTATTTTTTATTTCTTGGTTCATCCTTTGATTGTCCAGTTTCAATATTTATAATACATACATAATTTGATGTATCAAGGGATCAATTTAAAAAAAGCACCTTAATTATATGGTTTTAGTTTCTTGCAATTTAATTAAGGATTTTAAGTTTGAATTCAGATCCAAAAATGATGTTATGTTTAAGTAGAGTTTTTTAATTCATGTGATTATCATTTTACTCCATTTGAAATATTAGTATGTAACAGTATAAAACAATCACAAAACATATTATATAAGTCAATCACAAAACTAATCATAACTCTCATAGGTTCAAACTAGCTTAAACTAAGCATTACCTTTAATCATATTAGAGAAGGAAAAGTGAAAACATGGGCTCAGAAACCTCACCACAACTTCCATTAATTGACTTCAATAACCTCAACTTAGAAACCAAAAGTCCCAATTGGGAGTTAGTGAAGTCCCAAGTTTACAAAGCACTAGTAGAGTATGGTTGTTTTGAAGCAATTTTTGATAAAGTTTCTTTAGACCTTTGCAAGGCCATATTTGATTCACTAGAAGAGCTTTTTGATCTCCCTTTACAAACCAAGCAACTCAATGTTTCTAAGGAGCCTTATCATGGTTATATTGGCCAATATCCTATGGTTCCACTTTATGAAAGCATAGGCATTGATGATGCAAATGTCTTTGAGGAAGTTAAAAGCATGACCAACCTCTTGTGGCCACATGGAAACCAAAGTTTTAGGTATGCATAGTGAATCCTCTCAATTTGATTCCTAAATTGTTGAGATAGAACCATGGTTGTTAGGATCACGCTTTAACTCCCAAAAGCGTACGATCTTAGGAGTTGGCAACCACCCAAAAACTGACCCGTTATTGAACCCTAACGGCAGCGCTTATATTTTTAGGGTTTTGGGACTTGGAATATATTAAATATACTTTTGAGAAGTGCAAAACAATCATCGTGAAAGCTGTCCAGCCACCAAAACCATAGGAACTCTAATACCTCTTCATCTACTTCTTCTATAACCATTAATCATATGATGATTGGGTTTCTTCTTTTCATCTATTTCCTCTATAAATGTTAAGGTTATTTCTCCTATTTATTTTTTATAATTTTGTCTATTTGTTGGGATCTTACGATCCGAGTTATGATCCTATGATTTACGCTTTTTCCATGTCCTAACGCTCTTTATTGAGATCCCGATTTTGACAACCATGGATAGAACACTACTAACTTTGTTTATTATTCTGCAGTAAAACTATACATTCATTCTGTGAAGAGCAAACAGAGTTGGATCACATTATCAGAAAGATGATTTTTGAGAGTTTAGGTGTTGAAAAGTACTTAGAGGGCACATGAACTCAACCAGTTACCTTCTTAGGGTTATGAAGTACAAAGGACCTCAAACAAGTGACACAAAACTAGGACTTAGCGCACACAGCGACAAGAATGTTGTGACCATTTTGTACCAAAATCAAGTGGAGGGTTTACAAGTTATGACCAAAGATGGAAAATGGATAAGCTACAAGCCTTCTCCTGGCAATTTTGTAGTTATAATTGGTGACTCTCTCCATGTAAGTTCCATTCACCATTCCTTATTACTAACAAATTATTTATTGATTAATAAGTTTTTTGTTTTGTTTTAGTACACCAAAAAGTCACACGTCATTTAGAAATTGAGACTACTGGTAGTTTGTATAAATAACACTCACGTTTCTCACGCCATCAAGACGTCTTTTTCATAAAGAACAAAATAGAGAAGACTAAGGCCCAACGAAGACAATATATCTGATTCGAAGCCATGCAGGGGATGAAGATATACCACGCTAGAGGTCTCACAAACCCTTTAGCACTTTAGCCTCAATGGTGGGCTATTATTCTCATACATCAAAAGATCTAACATTCTTTAAAAATTGAGGCTAAAAGTAGTTTATAAACAACATACACCCTTCTCATTACACCGAATCAGACAATACTTCAGAAAGAAAGTTTAGTAGAATTGAGGGCCTAGGTCACAATTGCATATACTTTTTAACTATATTGTTAAAATTTAATATTATGGCATTTATTAAACTATATTGAAAATTTTCATATAACATGAATTTTGAAGGCATGGTCAAATGGGAGATTGCATCCCCCAATTCATCGGGTGATGATGAGTGGGAATGAGGCAAGATATTCGACAGCCTTGTTCAGTATCTTTAAAGGAGGGAGCATTATAAAAGCTCCGGAGGAGTTGGTGGATGAGGAACACCCTTTGCTCTTTATGCCCTATGATCATGTTGAGTTTCTTAAGTATAATTTCTCTGAAGAAGGCCAGAGGGACCAAAATGCTTTGCGCACTTTTTGTGGTGTCTGGACTAAGGTTGTGTTATTGAAAGAGGGTGTGCCATATAAATAATGTGTTTAAGTGCTTTATGCGGTTACAATCGAAGTCTGGCGTAAGTGGTTGGTGCAAAGTGTGTGTTATAAATTTTGAAGTACTGAATTTGATTCCTACTGATAAAATAAAAGATGTTGTACATGTTGTCAATGGCGTTGTAAATAGTATTGAGTGTTCAAATGCTGCCTACAAAATTTATCTTGAGCTTACAATATTACTACTCTGCTTTGTTTTCTTATCTTGATTAAAAATCAAATATTCTTGTGTGTAACCACATATGTAAAGTTGAAGATAATATCAAATTAATTTAAATAAGTACTATGATTGTCAAGAATGGCTCTAAAATAATAAAACCTGGTCTTATTCATTGAACACTCTTCAAAAAAATCATATTCCATGTCATAGAAATAGACATCATAACTTCCCAATTAACTAAATGTGCAATTTTATGATGAATCATGTTGGTAGGGGGAATGGACAAACGAATGAAGATAGTATTCTTGTTTTATGCTCCCACCAATGATGTTGATTGGAAACTAGGTGCCGGATTGAAGGGTTGAATGCTTATTAAATACTAACATTAAAAAATTATAAGAGAGTAATGTGTACCTGCGGGATCCACTAAGTCACCCAAATGAGAAGAGTAATGTTATACTCCTTTGATTCTATGATCAGTTACGTTCTTTAGTTCATATATTTATTCCCTACAATAGAAGTACACTGTGAAGATGGGGATGAAAGCAAACAAGAACAGTTTAAAATCCATCTTTCCTAAATAAATGCATATCTTAGAAGGAGGCTCCAACATATTTGAGGTAGAATATCTACCAAATGCATGAAGGGCCCTGAGTTATCAGAGAGAGGAAGAAATAACCATGAAATAGATGAACCTGAAGAAGTAAAAATAGCCTAACCTCCCCGTCATAAAGGTGACAACAGCAGGACCTGTACTTGATTATGAAGCTAACAAGCTAGCTTGTTATATTTCTGATGATGGATATGACCCTCTTAACTTCTATGCCCTTATGGAAACATCCAAATATGCAAACTTTAGTGTATCTTTCTGTAAGAAGTATAAGTGAAAGTCAAAGCACCCTTTAGAGACTTACCTAATTTGCCAATACCAAAGGTTAAGGATGAATAAGTAAAACAGTAAATTTCTTGTATAAGCACTGAAAATAGAGAGAAAGGAAGTTTTGGAGCTATGATTGAACTTCTAAGAAATCGTCCAGCTTAAGGTGATAACATGGCAGTAAAAATATCTGTGCCTTTATAATGTCGATACATGTAATCCTTGTATTTAACAAATATTAGTATACAATTTAATATATAAACATTAAGCACATCATAAATTATCACACATCACAAACTCTATCTTCTGTTCATTTCTTGTTTCCAAAATTATATGCAGTGATTTGCTTTTTAAAATTGAGATTAAGTTTGTTATATGAACATGTTAGTTTGTTCATCAAAAGAATAATCTTTGTTCACATTCCTGTTTTATTTCTTGCAATTGATATGGATCTTGAACACTTACAACCAGAACAACAAAACCATTGTTCTATCTAATAAAGACATAGTAAGCTGCTTTCTCCACCTTTTTTTTGCTTTCCCTGTCAAGCTATACATTCACTGTACTCATTGATTGGACTCAGTAATTCAAATTGGACTCGCATGTTCCACTTCAACATTTTTTAATGGAGAGCTCATGTTAGGGATCAAACAGACGAATCTGACTTTACAGGGTGGAAAAGAAAAAACAAAACAGGGACAGAAACTGAATTTCACTATAATTGTAGGTTCTAAACATATATTAAATGAAAATAATGTGTAAAACAAGTTGATCCTATGTGTCGACTACATGTGAGGCATCAACATGAATTTTTATTTTCCTAACTAACCAGAGTCTAAAGCATTAACAAAACTTGAGTATTGTTGCTGGTGAAGAGAGGCATGGCACAAAAAATCTAGCCTCTCTCAGTTTTCAATAAGTAAGAGTTTTGATTGGTCAGAAATACATTGTTGATCAAAGAAGTTATTGATATTATAATTTACACTCGCCATTTGAAGTGCCAATTCATCAAGGATGGCATAGATTTCACCCTGCTCTAAATGGACTACATTCCCTGCAGAGAACGTGTATACCTTTTTTCTCACCTCAATCCAACTCTGACCAGGTACTTTTTTGAAACCTTTTTTCTTTGCTGAGACCCTGACCCTTGCAGAATCCTCCCATCTTTCATTTGCAGCATAAATATTGGACAGAAGCATGAAGCTCCCAGTTATTTCTGACTTCTGAGCTAGAATTTGTGATGCTGTTTCTTCTATAACATCTGTATCTTTGTACATTCTACATGAGTTTAAAAGAGCTCCCCACACACACTCATTAGGTTCTATTGGCATGTTTTTCACAATATCACTCGCTTCATGCAAAAGCCCAGCACGGCCAAGGAGATCAACCATGCATGCATAGTGCTCTACGTTAGGGTCAATTCTAAACTCTCTGACCATCCGATCAAAAAGGTTGCGACCCGCAGCAACAAGACCAGCATGACTACATGCAGATAGAACAGCAACAAATGTGATGTTGTCGGGTCTCATTCCGGCTTTAATCATCTCATCAAAAGTTCTTAAAGCATTGTCACCAAGCCCGTGCATTCCATAACCCCCAATTAGTGAGTTCCATGAGATTAAATCTCTATCCTTAATATTATCGAATACCAAATGTGCTTCCTTGAAAACCCCACACTTCATGTACATGTTAATCAAACCATTCCCCACCGAAATATTGACATCCATGAGATTCCTAACGGTATAAGCATGAAGCTCCCTGCCAGAGTTCAATGCTGCTAATTCTGCACAAACTGATAAAACACTAGATATAGTGACACAATTGGGCATTACCTTCGCAAGCTGCATTCGCCTAAACAGTTCCAATGACTCCTCGCCACACCCCTTGGAAGCAAAACCACTAATCACAGCACTCCAACTTATGACATTGGGTCTCACCGCCGGATGACCATTCGATTTCTCCAGCTGCAAAAATACTTCATAAGCCTCATCACATAATCCGGATTCAGCATATGATGATATCAAAGCATTCCAACTTACTAAATTCTTGTTCTTTATGTCAGAAAATATTTTATGTGCATCCTCAAGATGCTCATGCTTCTTCGCATAAGTCCCTATCAATGCATTTGTCACAAACAAATAATCTTCATATCCACCTTTAATAACATACCCATGAATTTCTTTCCCCCATTGAACTCCCTCCATATCAGCACACACAGACAACACCACAGCTATAGCTTCAGCACTAATCTCAACTCCCTTTATTCTCATCAACTTAAGCAACTCCATAGTCTCATCATAAAGTCCACATCTAGCATGACTCGACAAAAGAGACGTCCATGTCACATAATTCGGCTTCAAACCTTCCAACTCCATCCGTTTAAAAATCCTAAAAGCACCAACAGAATCAAGATTAAAAGCATAACTCGAAACCAAAGTATTCCACGACAAAACACTTCTCACAACCATTCCATCAAACACTTTGCACGCATCCTCCATTCTCCTAACTCTCCCATACATACCCACCAATTCATTCATCACGTGAACATGATTCTTAAAACCCAGTTCCAAAACATGACAATGAACAATCTTACAAATCCTAAGAATCCCAAGATAAGAACATGACTTAATTATCAAAGGCAAGGTGAACCCATCAGGTAAAAATCCAAACTTTCGCATTTGAACATAAAGATGAACAGCATATTCGTAACACCCATGTGATACATTGGCTCTAATAATTGAATTCCATAAGAGAATGTTGTGAAGAGACTCAACTGGGGTGGTTTTGAACACTTTCTGGGCTTCGAAAATAGAACCGAAACGGGCGTATGTTGATATGAGCCTGGCGGATAAGAAGGGGGAATGGTGGGCGGTTGTGAGGACTAATTGGGTGTGAATTTGACGAGCTTGTTGGAGAGTGGAGCATCGTTGAAGAAGAAGAGAATCGAAGAAATCGAGAAGATGGTTGGTGTAGATTGAAGGTGTGAGTTTCGCACATGAGAGTGATGATAACAAGTTTTTCATATCAGTTTCAATGGAGTCGGAAATTGAGAGATGGAACCGTTTGGTTTAAAATCGGATTTCAATTCAAACCGGATTCAAACCGGTTTGAATATGTTTCAACCCGTTTTAATTTTAAATAATGGTAGAATTGGTCTGTATTTATTTAATCACTTTTTTAGGCTTAGTACACATTTAAAGTTAGAGCTTTCTATGTATAGACAAGTACACATATGAATTATTAGCATTTAGTGGAATTCGAATATGATATCAGATCACCTTTAAGCCTTCATTAGACCAACTAATTGTTGGCTCACAATTTATTATAGCTAGCTAACTGCTGGCTCTATTTACGGCTTGGATCACACAAAGTAGGAAATGAAAACTACAACATACCATTAAAGAGTAAATTTGGTGATGAGCATTGTGTGTAAATTTTCAAAGATTATCAAAGATATTACATCATTTAGAAACAAACTTTCACAAAACTATGCTTGAGTTTTTAGGAGTAGGTCGGTGTTGGAGGTTATAATGACAATAATTCAAATCTTTGTAAATCGTCAAGAACAATAGATCAAGAAAATTGCCACTCAAAGCATTGTTACAATGTTGCATATGGTCGAAGCAACACAATCCTAATAAAGAACAAAGGTGGTTAGGTTTGAGGCTATGGGTTTGATTGACTACGGAAGTGACACTTAAAGTTTGTTCGGATATGGGATGTGGAGACATGAGCTTACTCCATTGTTTGAAAATTTTCAGTTAAGATCTCAACTGGATCTCTGAAACATGTGGGGGAAAAACTTTAACTAAGAAAAATAAAATAAAGTTACATATGTGAATGTGTATTCTTCGTGGCTGTGAATGGAAAACGAGAATGAGTTTGTCGTTCTTACTGACAGTGTTAATGTTGTGGTTAAGAACTCAAGCTCACATTAGTGATAACAGGATGATGAATTGATATAATGTATTTCTCACATTATTCATTCAATCTCTATATTACTACAAGAATCACAACCACCTACATGTAGCAAAGGATGCATGGTGGATGATGCAAGAGTTAGTTACGGTTGTGCATGCTTTCATGCATGGTGAACATCAATGCATTCATCAACGCGCATGCTAAGCTATAACGCTAGTTGCCTAAAATTTCCTCCTAATACTCCCCCACAAGCTCATGGAGAGGTGATAGCCATGACTTTGAGCTAGAAACGAAGCTCTTGAAAAATAGCAATTACCAAGGGCTTTGTGAGAGGATTTACAAGTAGTAAGAAGCTAGGAACATGTTTGATCTTCAAGAACTTGGAAATAACACATTCGCGCATAAAGTGAATGTCCAACTCAATGTGTTTGGTGCGATCATGAAGAATTAGATTGTGAGAAAGCAGAATCGCGCTAGGATTATCACAAATCAGTGTAGGAGATTGAAATGGCATGTGAAGTTCTTATAGAAGGGACTCAAGACATAACAACTCAAAAGTTGTATGTTCAAGAGTGTGATATTCGGCCTCTGTGCTAGATCTAGCCACCAAACTTTGCTTCTTTAAGATCCATAAAACAAGATTCAGGCTAAGATAGATTCATGATCCAGAGGTGGAAGGCCTATCCTCTTGATCACTTGCCCAATAACAATCGTTGTAGGCTCGAAGTGAAAGCTTGTATGAGGGTGTTACAGAAAAATGAGAAATACATGATCAAGAGTTCTGGTGAGATAATGTAGAATATGCTTAACTGTTGTCCAATGTTAGTCAAAAGGTGAAGCCATGTATTGACATATTTGTTGACACTAAATGCAATATCGGGGAGAGTAAGAGTGGCATATTGGAGTGCACCAACCATGGACCGATACAATAAGGGATCATGAAGAGGAGATGAGCCATGTTTGTTGAGTTTTCACATGATATTCATGGGAGTAATGACACCATTTGTGTAACACTCTTCTATACCCACATATATTCTGCATGAATTTTTACGAAAATAAAATCAAATAGAGACCACCGAAGGGCGTCACATCTTCATAAAACATCAAATATAACAAATTTTGTTTCGTAGCACGGACTGCAAAAACACTTTAAATCATATGATACTTTGGTCTCATCACATAACCACTTCAAATAGCACAACTGTTGTACCCCAAAATTTTCCCTCCCATTTTTCATTCAAGATGCTATCCTAGGTTTTCTCAAGTATTCAAAATGGCTTAGGGTTTGATCAGATAGATTCTCTTCCTAGACATTGAGTCAGCAAATAGGGTTTGGTACTTTTCAAGCAAAAATGAGTTTTCAAAGTTTCAAATGGTCTTCATAGTTCTTCATGTATTCTCAAGGATGTTCATGTCAGTTTTTCAAGCCTTGCGTCGCGAGTTTGCCCAGTCATTGGTTCAGATGACTGAAATGATTGCATTGACCCAAAAATCGACCTTTGCGAGATCAAGTTCAAACGGTTGTAACTTCTTTGTTATTCAATATTTTTGAGCGATTCTTTTTGCATATGACTCTCCTTGACGCCATCTCCAATTTCTCTTCACAAGTTAAGAGCTGATTACGTGTGAAAGATCATCAAAAATTCAAATATTTTAGAGGTCACTTTCTGGATTTTTGACCTAATCTCAAGTAATTGTTGTCTGACTTCCAAGAATCGTAATTTCCTCAATTTCCAAGATCTTAAGACGATTATTTTTACATGTCGTTCAAGGAGTGTTCATTGCTCGTAGTGCAAATTAACTTGGATTTGAGTTAAGGGTTCATTGGGTTAGAGTTGATTTAAAAGTATTCATTCAAGTGACACTTTAAGTTTTAAATTTTGTCCAAAGGATTTTATCAGAATTTAAGACCCAAATATCATTCAAGTTTCAATTCTAATTCAAATAATTCAAATGGTGGATAATGAGAATATGATCAAAGTCATGGTTATGGATTTGAACATGGAAAGGCTGAGTAAAATTCAAATGAAATGGGAAGAGAAAGATTATTGGAGAATGTATCATTACAAGAGTATTCAAAGTTTCAAGTAATTTCCATTTGCATTCATACAAATATCCATTCATATTCACAAGATTCATCATGAATTCAAGTTCATTCATGAGAAAGTATTTAATCATAAACTTGAATTCAAATATCGTCCATAAATTTCATGATTCAATTCATTCAAATGTCAATCAATTCTTTTCCAAACTCAAACGGAGGACTTTGAATTTCATCAAGACATATCAAGATTCAAAGTTTCATATAAGGATTCAAGATGTTTACAATTACAAAAGAATTGAGGAAATATATTCAAGACAAGTTCCATTCATGTTACAAATTTATTTGAGTTATTATTACAAAGTTACAAAGAAGTTACAAGTTTGTACAAAATATATTTCCAACATTCTAAAATTCAGCCCAACAAGTTGCTGTAATGCAACCCATTTTCCAGCCTAATCTTGTTGTATTTTTGATGCCCAGAAATGCAGCAAGCCAGCCCAAAAGTGCAGCAGTAACAATCCCGAAAAAGGTGCTGCAAAAATGCTACAAACAGTCTAAAAAACAACAACATGCAGTAATCCCAAATACTGCCAAAGTCTGTTGTAAACTGCTATACAATCTGCTCTAACCTGCATCAGAACAGCCATAAAATCCCATAAAATTACAATCTGCTCTAACCTGCTCTAATCTGCTCTAACATGTATTCTCTATCTGCGTATATCCATCTTTGAATCTTCTTTTGCGCCATTTTTCCTGCCATACTATGCTTGCTTTATCATACCTTCTTTGCTGTATTTTTTGTGTTGCTGCATTTGTCGATTTTAAAATGTTTAAAAGTAAATGTGATAATTTAAAAAAAAAACAGCATACCTAAATGTGCAGTGAAATAACATAATATAAAGATAAAAATACCTTCTTTTCCTCTACTCAAACACACTGGATTCCAAACCCAAATCGAAGTGTTTGCCAACCGCATCATATGGTTACCTCCCCCTTCTATCTCAGTTGTTTTACCTCTGGCCTCAAACTGGAGATACAGTGAGAAGTACAAGCATTTCAATCGATTCCCCTTACAAGCCATTCACCCTTCAAAACTACAAGAGGAAAACGTCTTAGACTGTTCTCCTTTCCCCCCAAAATCCAATCAAACCGCCATTTCACCTACCACTGTCGCAAACTCCAGTACTTCATTCAAATCCACACTTTTTGTTACGCCCACCAAACCACAAACCCCCATCAAAAGTTTGTCACTGGACGAGTTGCAGGCTAGACGCGATAAGGTCCCTTTGTTACAATTGTGATGAGAGATATCAATCAGGTCACTGTTGAAAATATCATCTCACATACCCATCGTGGAACCGGAGGATGCTGTTATTGAAGCTTCTACATTGCAATTCCAGGTGACTGAATTTGAATTAGTACAAATCCAAGACGAACATGAAAACTACGAGACTCATATTCAAGATTTAAAATCGGTCTTAGAAGTTGGTGCAGAAAATTGAGTTTGTGCTTAACAAAGAACATCATCTTGTGAGCTGCTTAAGGAAAACCGAAGAAGAAAACGCATCCCTCCTCGCCACGAACTTTATGATAATGGAAGAATCTTCGATATCACTCACATGTATCACTCGGACATGCTGGAGATCGAGTCGAAAAACGGTATTGGTCATTTCCTTTGGCTTGCAAAGAACATGAATAACTTGGTTCTATCTCTAACTCCTGAGTTCACAAAGTTGCGAACTTTAATCCTTCGCCAAGACATGCTTCAACTAGAGGACAGTACTATTGAGGTTGTTGCAAAATTCTGCCACGACTTGCAGGTTTTGGACCTTAGCAAAAGTTTCAAGATTACGAATCGTTCGCTGTATGCTTTAGTTTTTGGTTGTTATGATCTTAGAAAATCGAGTATCAGCAGTTGTTCAGCTTTTAGTGACAAAGCTTTGGCTTGTCTAGCTAGTTTATGCAGAAAGCTGGAAGTTTTAAATCTATGTGGTTGTGTTAAAGCTGTATCAGGAAGCAGTGTCGTCTCAAATACAAAGGAAAAGAGGAATTGAGTTG